TTCAACTGCCTGGCGTACTTGCAACATTCCACACCACCAATGCTCCTCGGTAAGTAGAGTCTGTCAACATCGCTGCATGGATGAAAGGCATGATTCATTGTCATTATTTTTCTGGTCTTCCTATCCAGGGCTTCTAGTTCTGCTTGAGTCCAGTCCACTATTCCAGTTGTGTATCTAATGACTGGAATTGCCCAGGTGTTAAGTACCTTGATGGCATTTCCTCCACTGAGTTTGGACTTTAAGATCTTTTTCACTCTCATGATATATTCACTACTAACCTTCTTCTTGACTTCAGTGCGCTTGATGTTGTCAGCTTGAAGGATGCCCAGGTATTTGTAGTGATCTTCTTCATCCACTCTTGATGTTATTTCCATAAGGCATCTTGATACCTTCAGTTTTCACTATTTTTCCCCTGTTGATGGTAAGGGTGCCACATTTGTCCAGTCCTAACTCCATTGCAATGTCTTGGCTGTACTGTATATTCAGACAGTGTTGAGCAGCAATTCTATTTCAGATGGTGTTTTTCCATACAGCTTCAGATCGTCCATGTAAAGGAGGTGGGATAGCCTGACAGATGTTTTTGATGTTTGGACTGACTTGTTCAGTATTGTTGACAAAGGAATCAGTGCAATGACAAACAGTAGTGGTGATAGTGAGTCTCCTTGAAAGATTCCTCTTTTGATGTTAACCTCTCCCAGTCTATTGCCATTGATCAGCAACTATGTCTTCCATTGTGCCATTGATCTTTGCACTAAGCTTCTGATGTTTCTACTGATTCCTGTTATTTCTAGGCACTTGATTGTCCAATCATGTGGCAGGGAATCAGATGCCTTCTTGTAATCAATCCAAGCTACATTCAAGTTGGACTTCCTTATTATTGTGTTTATTTAAATTTATTGGCCACCCATCTCCACTACATTCTGTGTCAAGTGTAGCTTCCGAATCAGCTTCAAAGGCAGTCTCACACAGAGTGAATTTCAGTTATCCAGTTGTGTGGTGGTAAGGGCATGAGTTATATCCCTGCCAAGGCCTTCTAATCCAGGTAGGGCCATAACTGATGAACGAGCCAAAGCCATTATCCCTGGAACTTCTTTTTAGTGCCATGATTCCCTTCAGGAGGATGCAAAGTAATATTAAACAAAATAATTAAAAGCCATCTGAATATGTTAAGAGTTCACAATCTTTAACTCACAAAAAAATCCACAAAGTCAGTTGAGCTCTAAGTGATCCTATAAAGTATTTTAGACACCTTAGTAGAAACTGCCAAGTGTTGGAGGAGAGGACTACCAACATATGATTTGTATGCTGAGTTGTATGCTGAATGGGCTGAATAAACAAATTAATATGATTCAAAGGTGCAGATTCAAAATCACTTGCAGCAGATTAATTCTCCCATTTAGCAGATATTAATGCATTTCATGTTCAGATGATAGAAGGGGATTTTCCATCCACCCACACATTTGCAATACAGTAGAAGGTAAGACATTATGGCAAAAGTCCAGGTCATCTTAAAATACAGGCAGGGATTTGTGAATATGCAGAGATCTTATATCAACCTTTCCAGATCTGGCTTTCTCTAGAAGTCTTGGACTACAATTCCCATTATCCTGTTGTACTGGGGAGGTCACAATATATGCAGTATGGGGACACTAGACCACAAAAAGGGGTTCAGGGGGGTCACAGGAGGCCTGGGTCATGTTCATGGTTAACTTAGCTTCTGAAGATCGTGTTGTAAAATGCAACTATGAGCAAAGAACAAGTCAAGAGTTGTGGTTTTTATTAGGAAATTGAAAAGAAAGAAAGCATTAAACCTCTCCCTCCCTTGCCCACAAAATTAAAGTGCATGGAAGCCTAGAATTCACAGACTATACTTCACTTATTTGTGTGCAGAAAGGAACTGGGTGAGTTTTGGCAGAGAAAGAACTTTGAAACTTTGCTACCAATGCAGATCACAGTACCTGGAAAACCAGAAATCACACTATCAGCTTTTAGATGTATTCTTTAAGAAGTGAACTCTTTGAAGTATATGAAGCTGCATATTTTTGTCCAGAACTTTGTAATTACATTTTACCCTCAAGAGAAACAGTGCTATTTCTTCAACTGTTCTTTTTCAAATTAAACCAATGGCTTTTGCAAACAGAAGGCTACATGTCACTGCCTCTGTCTTCAGCAATGATTTATACAAAAATTTTGGCAGAGGAGAGGAAGTGTTCTGCATCTGGAAGGTGTCTGAGGTTTTCTGCTTCACGTTCCTGACTGTTCTGCAGTATATGAAGTCATTAGCTGTGTTACACAACACAGTGAACTAGCCAACCACATTTTACCCTAGTGGTGGTGGCTGGGGTGTGTGTGTGAATTTATATCCAGACTTTCTGCCCTGAAGGCATTAAAAGTAGTGAACAATTAAAATATTAAATATAAACAATTAAACATGGATAAAAGGAATTAAAATGACTATTAATTCAAACTGAAAAACTTTAGCTAAAGAGGAGGATACTGACTCCTTTAAATGAGGGCCAAGCAAATGCAGACTGTGTGCTTTAGAGTGACCAGATTTCCAAAAATAGAAACCTACCAGGACACATGAATGCATAGAGAAGTGAGGGCCTGATGTTGGAATTCTCTGTTGGAAGCAGCCTATTTGCAGATGTTCTGGCTTTTACTTGGTTCACAGGCTTAGCACTTTAGGAAGCTGTTAGCCAAGGGCTGTTATCAGATGTAGGTATCTGTCTTTGTTTCCTTCAGCAGGAAACAAAGGACACTGTGGTTAAGCTCTTTCTGTCTAGCACAAGAGTGGAAGATAGTTTCCCATCTGGCCCATCAAGTGGTTTTTCTGGCATATATAGGC